CACACATATATATATGTATGTGTATATATATGTATTGGAATTTAAAAATTTACAGTGCGAAACACAAGCTTAATTGAACAACAACAAAAAAAAGATGTGCAAAATTTCTTAAACCAACACAAATAGAAGAGTGAGGAGAATATTCTATCATTATAAAGAATAAGTTGAATACAGCAAAGAAGACCATCTTCATTCCAAAATCATCTACAAGGCACTAAGGGTAGGAAATGACAGGTAACATAGAAGTAACTGAATAAAACTTCTCAGTCAGGTCGGAATATGGGATATTTTGGTAAGACTTCTATTAGTATTACCTATAAAATAAAAACAAAATATTTTTCATTTAATATAGCGTATATAGCCTGGAAGTCTAGTCATTTTTCGTGAGGCTGTATATTGATCCTGTTCTATGTAAAGTAACTGAAATTTACGATCAGAGTTTCATATATAAGTTACCACAAGTTGTGATTAGATTGGCAAATTTAAAAATTTAAGTGGTAGATAAAACTGTCCTGTAATTGACAGTTGTTATGTCATGATCTTCAAAAATTAGTTGCTTAGGGTCAGAGGAGCCAGAAAATCCAATTAAATAATGTTATTATCATGTCCTTCCCCTCTTACAATTTTTTTAGGTAACTAGAAGGGATTAAAACTATGTTATACAGATTAGAAAAAAAAGTTCAATATGTTTATATATTTTTCAATTAAGGCAGCTGATATTAATTGAGGATTACTATCTTTTATAAGTTGTTTGTGAAATGCAAGAGTATTCAAGTGGATTGACCAAAACATTTTATAGAAAGGTTTAGAAATAAAAACCTAATATACTTTTGAATGTTTTATCTATAATACAGTTCACATTTGTGGTCATTTGCATATTTTCTCCAAACTGATTTAAAGTGGTGACAAATTTCATAATAATCCTGGTTTAAATGGTATCTTTATTATTAAATATATAAGGTACTACATGTCAGTAGCTTGAAATTTGGATAAATTTAATACTCTTTTGAATGTTAATGATGCTGAGTTGAACACATTGGTTACATGTGAATTTATGTTGTATGACTAAGATTTATGGCTTTCATAAAAAACCTGAAACTATATTAAAACTTGTTTCTTCACTAAAAAGGTAAATGTCAGCCAAGAAGAAAAAGCCAGAAATGTAAATTCAGAATTCATAACTCAATTTCTATTTTATGCAAGTTCTGACATTTGAAAATGTTTTAACAGCAGCTCTCCTCAGCACAATAACTTTATGATGTTTAAACAACATCAAGATTATACAATGTATTCATCTAAGCATACTAGTAAAGACTTTTCTAAGATCCAAATAACTGTTATCTTTCAGGATATTTTAAATTGTCTACAAATCTAAGGATGAAGGGTAAACCTCTACACTTCAAAGCAAAGTTCAGATTGAGGGGGGAAAAATAGATAACAGATGATAAACATGGTAAAACATTACGTTTAGGATTAAATAAAAAATGTAATTAAAACAACTTCATACTTACATACTCCATCATATTGCTAGTTTCACATTTCCTTTTAGTCAACTTCCAGTGCAAAGCAAGCTAAGAAAGCACAATTTTGTTAAGAATTTTTGTGTGAACTTAATTACAACCTATACATTTGAGGCAGGCGGAGGAACCACTAAGCTAAATCCCCGACCTAACCTATACATTTGAATAGATCATTGAAAGCAATCCAAGTATATGATATGAAGCATGGCAGTTGAAAATATCTGGTAAACTATATATATATTTGTATATTAATTCTCTATTCCTTTGTGGCCTGAAAGATTCCAATTTAGTACTTATTTCTTTTTCAATTTAATAATGTGGATTTATGAATATGGCATTCATTGCTTACAATTTCTTTCTTTTTGGGGGTGTTGAGATAGAGTCTCACTATGCTCTTCAGCTTGGCCTTCAACTCACAATGTAGGTTACCCTGGCTTCAAACTCATGGCGATCCTGCTGCCTCAGCCTCCAGAATAGTAGGATTAAAGTTGTGCATCACTATGTCTGGCTTTGCTTACAATTTCTTACCTTGTGATATAGTCTGTTATTTTCCCATTCTAGTAACTTCTGAATTGATCTTCTGGTCTAAGAAAAAGGATCAAGACATTGTTACATGATGAACTGAAGAACTTTGTAAACTATATGCATCTATATCTTTTTGCTTACATATAAGATCCTATTTATTTCTTCTTGTTTTTTATCATTAATCAGAAAAAAAGCAATGTAATTGATAGAAACTGTCAAAAGAGTTGTAATACTGTAATATAGGACTGATTAATACAGTTATAGTAAGATACCTATCAAATTTCAATTTCACTTTTCAAAATGAAATATGTATGAATTGCTCTGAGTTATGAGAACATTCACTGCCTTATTAAAAAAAACCTTAGTAATACTGCTAGGAGCCCATTTAATAGATCTAATTTATATTTTCACATATCTTTCACAGGATTATTTTTTCAATAAAAACCTAACATGCCAAACTAATCTAATTCCTCACAGAAAGTTTTTCTTTCAGAGGTCTCAGAACACCGAGCCTGCAGAAGTTAGTAAAGGTCTAGAAAGGGTAAGCCTCTATTAGTATTTTCCACTGAAAAGAAAATGGTAGAAACAGCCAGTGAGAGCACTTTTATTTAGAGAAAAAATATAAATGAGAGAAGCAGGAATTTAGCAAAAGAAGGATAGAGACTTTCTTCATTCAGAATGTATGTATTTTTTAGAAAGTAAGAAAAATTTGCAAATCCTTTGAAATCATTAAGATTGTTATGCATATTTTATTCTTATTGGGGTTTATATAGTTTCTGATTTTAAAAATATACTGGTAGGCACTGCTAACTTTGAAAACTATTCTCTAAAATGCAACGATTTACAAGCCAGACTATTTCTGAAATTATTTCCACAGTATCAACATAAAAAACTATTCTACCTGTTCAACTACAAAAGTTAAGTCAGTGGGAGTTCAAATCTAATTAAATTGGTTCATTTATAGTTTACTAGGTGAGCAACAATGTCAGCTAGATTCTATCTTGGGGTCATTACACTTGATAGATCTAGATAAAATCAGATGAATAACAAATAGATTGAATTAGCAACTAAAAATCTTTCCATAAAGAAAAAAAACCAAGACCAGAAGGCTTTAATGATGGATTCTACCAAACATTTTAAGAGAATTTAACACCAATACTGCACAAATTCTTCATGGAAATGGAGAGGTATTTCCCAACTCATCCCAAACGAAAATATTATTCTTATAGTAAAGCTACACAAAAAAATGTCACACAAAAAAAGAAATTTATAGATCAGTATCTCTTAATAAAAACATAAAATTCTCCATAATAGCAAAGTGAATCATGCTCAAGCTTTGATCTATCCTGGGAACACTAAACTAAACAAATGTAATATATGAATAGAATAATAGACAAAAACCACCTGATTTTCTTAACAGGTTTAGAAAGAACACGGGACAAAATCCAACAATCATTTATGATAAAAACTTTAAAAAACTAGACTACAAGATAATGTCCTCAGTCTGATGGAGGACACCTATGGAAAACCTACAGATCATCATACTTTATGGAAAAAGAATAAATGTTTACCCCCTAAGATGGAGAATAAGATAAGTAAGTTTCTTACCACAGCTTTTCAATATTGTATTGAAAGTTATAGCCAGAGCAATTAGATAAGTGTAAGAAATAAAAGGCATTCAGATTGGAAAATAAATAGAAAAACTGTCTTCATTCACAACCAACATTGTATACAGAAACCAACATAGAAACTATTGCAATACTATTAGAATAAGTGGCTCAGCCAGTTTGCAGGATACAAGATTGTTCTAAGTAGATTTTTTACTACTATTACTATATTCAGGCTCTGATATTACGTCTGTGAATACAGTATGTTGCATTACAAAAGGGCCATTTCAGATGTATTAAAATAATGATCTTAATGTTCAGCTGGCCTTACAGTAAGGAGATTATGCTAGATTATTTGAATAGAGCCAATGTAATGGCATGAGCCCTTAAAAGGACAGAATCTTGGGCTGGGGACTTAGTTCAGTGGTTCTGCTGCCTCCTGCCTTGGAAGTACAAAGTCCCGAGTTTGATCCCTGGTACCACCACCAAAAAAAAAAAAAAAAAAAAAAA